ACGATAGGTATAGGTATGAATTTTAAAAAATGAATGTTGAGCACAAAGGAAAGGTTAGCAATTGAGAAATACTCTGTATAACTTCATAATGTTCTAGATATTTAAGAAATTAATATGAAGCATATAAGGTCAGTACGTACATTTTATTAGTCTTGCTTTTATTGTTTCCTGTAACATAGAAATCGCTAAAGAAGCAAAAAGTATACAGTCCATTAGTCAGTCAGCACCTCTACATGAAAGTATGACTTCTTCATGTTGGTATTGTATATAATTCCTGACTTTTTTAGTCACAGCTCATCAGACAAAGGCCAATTGATCAAGAAATTAAAGATAGAATACAATAGATAACTTCCTTTTAATTTTTGTGATTTTTAATATTAAATTTAAAAATTATTATAGTTATTAATTAATAGTAATAATAATAATAATAATTTCAATGAATATGTAATGAGTTCAGTCATGAATCATTGCCGTATACGGAGTGATACAGGATGTTTTACAGAAAGTAAGTCTCCCGTAGCTACATCCTGATACGGTTGACTGCCCAAAGTTAGTGTATCACAATGATCTACGGTACCTGATACACTGCCGTAATCTGGACAGATACAGACTTCAATTCTTGGCTGTGTAGATATATGGCCTGCCAACCACAAATGCAACTGAACCGGCCAGCCCTGGCGCAGAAAAATTACCATGAGACTGAAAAGCGCCTAATAAGAAAGTCTGCCAGCATAGATTATTTATGTTACTATATACCGAAGTCCGAACTTGATCTTAAACCTCAACAAGGATGAGCCCCAGCTTCTCTTTCGCTTTTTTCCTTTTCATAGCAGTGACACTTGCCTTCGCTAATGTTGAGTCTCGCCGAGTTATTCGTGCAGCTCCAGGAGAGGAGACAACAGGAAACTACATCGTAGTAATGAAGAAGGAGACTAATCATAGCACGTTTGAGCATATTGCTGATGAAGTGAGAAGGGAGTCAATTGATCAAAAACTATCTGTGAAAGTGGGAGGTCCGTTTGCTAAAATTGTAACAGCAAAGATGACAGAAGATGCTGCACATAGAGTACTAAAATTATTATAATTACTGCATTAAAACTATTATATATTTGGATTTTTATAGATAATGCAACATGAGGGTGTTTTTATAGAGGAAGAAACATATGCATCTATTGATATGTCTTGGGCTGTGGATCGTGTTGACCAAGTTAGTAGAATTCTGGACAATCAACCATACACTCCATGTGAATGTGGCAATGGTGTTGATTTATATGTCCTTGATACTGGTAAGAAAGCATACATACTAGATTACAATAATTTTATACCAATAGGTATTCGCTATGATCATTGTGAGTTTGGAGGAGGAGCAAAATATCCAGATTATAACTATGTATTTGGTGGAAGAGCCAAGTATCCAGGTTATGATCCAATTGATAATTACAATGATACCAATTTAGAAGGTCGAGATTGTCATGGACATGGTACCCACATAGCCAGTTTAGCAGTTGGGAATGTTTCTGGACTAGCTCGTTGTGCTACTGTTTATAGTGTACGTGTACTAGACTGCAATGGCAGAGGACCTTACAGTGTTGTAATAGATGGACTCAACTATGCAGCTAGCAAGGTTAGAATGACACGGAGACCATCAGTTATTTTAATGTCACTGGGTGGATCTTTCTCCTCTTCTCTTAATCAAGTGGTAACAAATGTGGTCAATCAGGGAATACCTGTAGTTACATCTGCTGGTAATGGTCGTGGTAATGCATGCACTAAATCACCTGCTAGCAATCCTGGAGCTATAACAGTCGGTAGCACTTTAATAGGAGACTATATTAACTTTAATACTAATGCTGGACCCTGTGTGGATATACTTGCTCCTGGAGCATTTGTGACTGCTGCTAGTCATACTTGTTCTACTTGTTCATGTACTAAAGTTGTAAGTGGTACATCAGTGGCTGCTGCTCTTGTTTCTGGTGCTGTGGCATTACTACTGGAAAAGGATCCTTTACTTTCTCCTGCCAATATCTCAGATGAATTAAAAGAGAACTGTCTTAAAAATGCTATCAATTACATTTTGTTGGATAGTCATTATAAAAGCAACACAAACAATTGCCTTCTTAATATTAAACACTGTAAGTTTCTAACTTCTATAATTATTATACCATATAGGGGGTATATTTCACGGGGATTTAATTTTGCTAATTTTGCAGTTTTAAAACATTCGTGAAAATTTTTATCTATGAAAATTATTTTTTATCATACTAATAATGGTAAAAAATGCAAATTTTTTTCCTTGTGAATAGGTTGAAAGGTGATTTTCATGAAATATTTTCCCCATGAAATATACCCCCTATACGGTACTTCGAGTATTATGCTTCTGTTTTTGGCACAAATAGGTAATGTATGTGAAATAACACCAACTAGTGTTTTCATTGTCTCGCACACTATAAATTTAACACACGTTATTTCTTCAGAAGTTACCACTGTTTCATCCGAAACTATTACCTTAATGAAGAATACAACCATATTCAAAAATGCTACCTTAACAATTAACACTACTGTGTTAAATATTACTACTCCAATATATAATACTACATTAACACAACATTCGAACATTACACATCATATAACGACAACAAGCAGTACTACTTTAACATGCAAAGCTTCTACAACAGTTCATATTACTTCAATTCATCATACAACTTATACATGTTGTTCTACTAAAATGGATCCAACTACTTTAGTACATACTACTACTTCAACACATGTCATCCCTGTAACTTATAGCTGTCCCGTAACAATTTGCACAACACCACCATCAGTTGTATATCATTCTGAAACCACTACGGCAACTTTTTATTGTACTGTTACAGTTGATCGTCACAATAATATATGTAGCTACAACAACAATTTGAGATGTCAAAGGCCATTATAGTTTGTAGCCGGGACTGAATAACTGTATGTATTTTGGCTAATTGTTCTATAGTTGATTTAAATCATTAGTTATGATAAAATTTCAATAATAGAGCTAGGCCGGATAAAATCAATGAATCGTACCATTATAGCATGTGGCACTAGTCTAGATTGTGATCATTCAAGCATACAAGACAGACTAGGCGCTCACACATCATAAATACACAGTACATGTACCAGCCATCCGGATCAATTAACCGGCTGCTATGGTTCATGCTGCGCAGACAGCCGCAATAGATTACGGCCTGGCCTCGAGGCCTCATCATTATGGCCTATCTAGCGCCTCTCATAATTCAATTAAGAGCGCGGCGGCGATGGCCCGTGCCTAGCCTACCATTATATTTATGCTATACTATTATATAGAAACGTATATGCAATCTAGTTCCAGACAGATCCATAGATTTTACTGCAGTGGCAGCTAGTTTACAAAATTCAATTGATGCTCACAAGCATGAAATACAGCTGTTTTACTGCTATTATTATGTTTGCAGTTGTCCACTGTGATGTTGATTCAAGTCACCAAGTACCATTTCTGCCAGATGAAGAAGAGGAAACAACCGGAAACTACATTATAGGACTGAATGTTGAAACCAGTCATAGCACATTTGAGCATATTGCCAATGAAGTGAGAAAACAATCAACTGATCATAAAATAGTAGTAAAAGTCGAAGGACCATTTGCTAAAATAATTACAGCAAAATTGACAGAAGATCAAGCAAAAAGAGTATGATCATTTTTATTATTTATATAATTTGACTATTATAATAGTTAATGCAACATGAGGATAATATTGAGTTTATAGAGAAAGAAAATTATGCATCCATTGACATGTCATGGGCTGTGGATCGCATTGATCAAGTCAGTTCAGTATTGGACAATCGGCCATACACTCCATGTGAATGTGGCAATGGTGTTGATGTATATGTCCTTGATACCGGTATATGAATTTTAATTTGTGCAGGATTTAATACATATACAATTATAGGTATTCGCTATGATCATTGTGAGTTTGGAGGAGGAGCAAAGTATGTATTTTGCAATCATTATGTATTTGATGGAAGAGCCAAGTATCCAGGTTATGATCCAATTGATAATTACAATGATACCAATTTAGAAGGTCGAGATTGTCATGGACATGGTACCCACATAGCCAGTTTAGCAGTTGGGAATGTTTCTGGACTAGCTCGTTGTGCTACTGTTTATAGTGTACGTGTACTAGACTGCAATGGCAGAGGACCTTACAGTGTTATAATAGATGGACTTAACTATGCAGCTAGCAAGGTTAGAATGACACGGAGACCATCAGTTATTTTAATGTCACTGGGTGGATCTTTCTCCTCTTCTCTTAATCAAGTGGTAACAAATGTGGTCAATCAGGGAATACCTGTAGTTACATCTGCTGGTAATGATCGTGGTAATGCATGCACTAAATCACCTGCTAGCAATCCTGGAGCTATAACAGTCGGTAGCACTTTCATAGGAGACTATATTAACTATAATACTAATGCTGGACCCTGTGTGGATATATTTGCTCCTGGAGCATTTGTGACTGCTGCTAGTCATACTTGTTCTACTTGTTCATGTACTAAAGTTGTAAGTGGTACATCAGTGGCTGCTGCTCTTGTTTCTGGTGCTGTGGCATTACTACTGGAAAAGGACCCTTTACTCTCTCCTGCCTGCATCTTGGATACACTAAAAATAAACTGTCTTAAGTTTAGTATCAATTTTCTCTTTTTAAGTAGTTATTACAAAAGTACAACAAATAACTGCTTTCTTCATGTTAAACAATGTAAGTTCATTTATTGTTTGTATTATGTTCCTAATTCCTATTGTTTATTGCTTATAGGTACTGATGTATGTGGGATTACACCTACTAGTACTTTTGTCGTTACACGTACTAGTACCTCAATCTATGTTACCACCTCAATAAATACTACTACCTGCACCAAAACTACTAATTTCACAGAATGTACTACCTTAACATGCCCTATTACTTTAACAACCATTACTACTGTTTCAGACTCTACTATGTTAACATGTCATTCTACATCAACATACCATGAAAGTGTAATAAACAATATTACTTCCACACATGGAAAAACTGAAACGTTTCTTACTACAATGGTTCAAACGTATACTTCAACTCATCATATTACTTCAACAGATATTACTACTTCCATAAAACTTGCTTATTTGACACATACTAGTACTTCAACCAAATTTAGTTTTAGTTCCAGCACTACATGTATTTCTACAAGCACTGTTACATTGCGGCCAACAATTACAAGCACTAATACAGTTACATCAACTGTACCGGTTTTTTATGATACACATAGTGTTTATGACTGTCATGATAACACAGGGCCCAGGATCCCAGAGCCAGGCAATCCTGCAGTTTAAAGTTCAATTTGTTAATTTTGTAAATATAAAAATGTGTAACTTTTGTTAATTAATTATAGATTTGTCAATATTATTTCATAGATGGTCAACTCTAAGTCTATGGTCATAGACTACAGATAGCATAGACTATTATTATCATAGATACAGACTATGCAACCTAGCTACATATCTGATTAAAGTTACCAGAAACTCAATTCTTACATCTGTCTTGCTGCTGTCCTCTTCATATCACTTATTAAGTTATTCATACAGCTCCAGGAGAGAAGACAACAGGAAACTACAATGTAGTAATGGAGATAGAGCCAGTCACAGTACGTTGAGCATATTGCTGATGAAGTGAGAAATGACTCAGTCGATCACAAGATATCAAAGAAAGTGGAAGGACCATTTGCTAAGATTATAGCAAAAATGACAAAAGAAGGAAGACACAGCTCCTGGAGTGTCGTCATCAATGAGTTGAACTATGCAGTAAGAACAATCACAAAAGCATCCATTGGTAGTTTCTCTCTCTTGGAGGAGAGTATCAAGAATCAGTTGATCAGTGCATCACTTCAACTGTGCCCTAAGCCAGGAGCTCACAATTGCTTATATACATACTCTCCCAAACTGAGGCATTACCAGAATATAATTAGATCTATGGATCTACATCAATAAAGATTACAAATTACTATAGGACAAGATTATGTATATAGTCATTATTTTTATGAGTTATTAATCTATACTATTTCATTTGTCGTTGGTTCACTTTTTTTGCTATCTTCACTTTTAGTATCATCATGAACCTCTAGCTCTGTGTTTGACTGATCCTCCGACCTCATTTGGGAAGCATTTTGCTTGAAAGACTTGATGATCCTTGACCTACAGAACAAAGCCAAACATTAATACACTAAAAGTCCATTTTTGTCATTCACCCGAGCACTTATATTTTTTACTTTATACGCATTAACTTCAAATATATTTGTTGTAGAGCTGAAACAGATATCCTGATTATCCGGATATCCGTTTATAAATTTAGTATCCGGATAGTAATTTTTGACAAATAGGATAATTAAACTTAATAACTAGACTTTATAACTAATTAATGCAATTCTGTCAGTTAATGACCAGCAATAAAAGAGTAAGTTCTTGAAGCTACCAACCTTGTCAGCCACTTCTTAATCATTTTTGAGCTTCTTAACTACCAGAAATGTACAAGAATAACATCCTGGGGAATAAAAACTTTGCTTTTTTGATGTCTGCAGTCACTAACTAATTAACTTTCATTAATTAACTATCCGGCAAATATCCGAAAGAAATTTCAACAGGA